CAGTGGGGGGGGGGGGGGGGGGGGGGGGGGGGGGGGTCTGCAGCCCCTGTATAGGGTAGGACAACTATTGTTTGATCTTTTTGATTTGATTTTTTCCCCCCTAATATTAGTTAAATTTCTGACCATTTAGATTTTAAAATAGTAATCATATTGCAAAGTAAACCTTATAAAGATACTATACTTAAGTTATTTTAGGTCAGTCAGTTTCATTTAGGCTATGAAGGAATGAATGAATATTTATATAGCGCTTTATTGTGTGTTATATAGCGCTTTATTGTGTGTTACTGTACACCCAAAGCGCTTTACAATCATGTGGGGGGGGACTGTCTCTCCTCAACCACCACCAGTGTGGTGGTTGAGGCAGCCACAGCACAACGGCACCAGTGCGCTCACCACAGACCAGCTACAGGTGGAGAGGAGAGAGAGTCATAGAGCCAATCAAGTGGATGGGGATTATTAGGAGGCCATGATTAACAAAGGCCAGGGGGGCAATTTGGCCAGGATACCGGGGTTACACCCCTACTCTTTAGGAGAAGTGCCATGGGATTTTTAATGACCACAGAGAGTTAGTACCTCGATTTAACACAGGGCTGTACAAACTCGGTTTCCCTGAGGCATTTCTGTTCAGTCTGTTACCTAGCTAGTAATGACTTCACTTAATTATCAGTAAGACACTTAATATGCTGACACTGCCACTTGCACACAGCAATTTCTGTAATATTTAATTTATTTACTTTTTTAACTCTATTGCTGCTATGTAAATATTTCAAAATGTTACTGCTTTTGGTGCATTTTGGATCAGATAAAAGCAGGCTTGGTGAACAGAAGAAAATTCTTTAAGAAACATTAAAAATCTTGCAGTTCAAAAACCTTTGGCTGCTAGTGTAGGCTGCAAACTGCTTGTCTGCCAGCAGGAGGCGCTGTGAGAGCGGTGGAACTAACGGTTTCTCCAGTAATGGCTGTAAACAAAGCAGCTCCGCTCATGAACGCTACTTTATCAGATAAAAATGCCATCTAAACTATTCTGAAGACAGTCGGTTCCCTTCAGAGATAGATTCACATAAAACACCCGCGACGCGTTTTGATTTTGAAACGTGCAGTGCTCATGTTTATTCAACGAAGTCAAACGCCACAAATAAATCAATGTATGGGAAACACTGGTAATGTATATCGAAATATCGGAAATGTGTTTAAAAATCATATCACCGTTATTGAAAAAAATTATATCGCGATAAATATTGATATTGAATTATTGTCCAGCCCTATTTGAATATATATAATATTATAATTGGTTTACAAAACATTTAAACAAAAAAATCTGTGATGTTCATATTGCTAAATAATCATATTTCAAAGTAAACATTTTAAAGTTAATATACTTATGTTATTTAAAGGCACAATATGTACGTTTTCGCCACTAGAGGGCGCGTATTCAAAACAAACAAAGAAACAAAGGCGTAGTTTGATGACGGCGTGACTGAGTGTGGAATCATGGGAGTTGTCGTCTTCATCCCCACAGCCGATGCAATCCAACAGGACTCGGGCAGAAATCATGTTCATGGATGAGCTAATGATTTATTAACGTAGTAGAATGAAGCAGGGTGAGGCTGAAAGCTGTTGAAGCGAAACGAGGCCGCTGAACGAGCGTGACACACGGCTTGAAAGCAGTGGAGCTTTTATTATGCCACAGTCGACCGCTTCCGCTCCTTCCGGTCGTGAGTATGTGGGGTAAAGCAGCGCTGTTTTATCATACTAGATACATTTGCAAGTTCTGTTATAGTGCTACTCTGTGCGGTCGTCACCTGTCTATTAAAACCCAGAACATATTAAATCGTCTTTAGTGTTTCCATGTTTTCTACAAAACAAAATGTGCATGACGGCATTGGCAGGCGACACAATGACACTATGGACACAGTCCGTGCCACTAGTTAAAATGGCTTATTTCTCTGGATTTAAACATTCTTCGAAACATTTGGGATAATGTAAGTACACAAGTCAGCAAAATATATAACTAACTGTTGTAGTAGTTTTTGGATATTTTAATAAAAAAATCTTACATATTGTGCCTTTAAGGCCAGTCAATTTTACTCATAAAAATGTGGTACTTAATTTCAAACAAACAGTCATTCCGTGCACACACACTCTCTCTCCTAAGGGGTTGTTGGCTTTAAAAAGGTTGAAAATCATATCTATTATAAGAACTCCATTTATATATTACTATATTTAGGGATTGGTGTAGTGCTGTTTTCTTCACTCTGATGTGAAATCCATTTGTGCTTCCAGCCCAGTGAATTTTCACTATAATTTATACAGAACTTTTATTTATTTGTTTGTTTGTGTAGTTAGTTAGTTATACGTAAAATGCTTAGCAAATTCTTGTATGCTAATACCCACCCTTGATAGAAGAAGGCATGGCTCATTAATATTAATCACTTACGGGCTGGACCCTTCAGCAGGCTTCAGTACGAACGTCAGATTTCATTAATTTTCATGAGTGAAGCTCTGCCGTACTAGGGTTCACAGTATGTGTGTGCATTGGGTGTCACTCCAAAAAGAGGCGGGGCCTCACACTTCGTCCTGTTAGTTATACGTAAAATGCTTAGCAAATTCTTGTATGCTAATACCCACCCTTGATCGAAGAAGGCATGGCTCATTAATATTAATCACTTACGGGCTGGACCCTTCAGCAGGCTTCAGTACGAACGTCAGATTTCATTAATTTTCATGAGTGAAGCTCTGCCGTACTAGGATTCACAGTATGTGTGTGCATTGGGTGTCACTCCAAAAAGAGGCGGGGCCTCACACTTCGTCCTACATTATTCATAAGCGCCTGGAGTGACAGGCAGAGCCCTGGCCGGCTTTTTAATACTCAGTCTAAGTGACAGCGTGAGTGGAGTATCAACAGCACAAAGATAGACAGACTTTTGAAACCCAACTCACAGGGATCTCTGGCTGGCATATTCTAATGAGTGTGAAGAAGGATGTTATTGTAAATGGATTTTATGGATTGTATTTGGATTATCTGTTATGAATGGGTTATCTTCTCTGGTTTTTGTGTGTTGTGTATTGTGGCTGGGAGAGGGGATGAACCTTGCTCGGTCAATATTTGGCTGAGGGTCTTTCTGTGATTGGCTCTCTCCATTGTGTGATCTTTCTGGAGGGCTGCTGGGATGCTTTCAAGGGTGTGTCAGCAGTTCAGAGATGAACAAAGACTGATTGAAGCAGATATCTTGCATTACTGGATCTGTCACCTTTATCTCTGCTTTAAGATATTTAGGTTTGTGGATAGGACTTGTATCTGCTGTAACTGAGTGGATTTTGGGCACTGAGGCCCTGCTGGTTGTTTTAACCTGTTATGATGCTTGGCATGTTTTCAGCTGGAAGCAGCTTTTGGTGCTCAGGTTTCATCTTCCTAGGGTTGTACCGGGCTGCTGAGTTGGCAAAATGTCTCTGGAAAAAAGTATTTGCATTCTGCCTTATTTACTTTGTCTGAAAGCTTCATTATAGTGTTTTCTGTGCATATTATAGTACAGCTTAACATTTAAATCTATCTAAATAACTGGCTTGAAAAGTATACGGACACAAATGCTTAAAATATATGAATGTCTTTGCTTTATATAGCAACATATCAAACCTAGTATAATTTACTTTAAAGACAGATGACACAAGCATGCTTTTTTAAAGCAAAACAGTTCACAAAAATCTATATTTTTGCTAGGGTTTCAGTTATAAAGCAAGACATTAACTGTTTGAAATGAAGACAAAAATTGTCAAACATCAGTGGATCATGTTCTTAGTTTACAGAACTGAACTACACACCAGTGTGAACTTGAGTGTAACTGACTTTATACATCCACTAAAATGCTTTTACACCAGCTGAATGTAAATATTGTAAAAATGGCTCAGAAATGTCAAATCAGTTGTTAGAAAATGTCTTGCATCATTTAGTGTTTGTGTAGCTGTGTAACAGTTTATGCACTATAATGTGATTTAATTAACTTCTGATAAAGGGTCTGGCAAATGTAAAAGTCTTTTTTTTGCCAATGCCACATGGTTTTATATTTTGTTTTTAATGCAGTGACATTCTTACAGTTTTAAGTGTGACCTCCTTCGTCATGACTAGAGCTGATCCGTGCTGGTCGCTGAGGAAATACTTCAACTTTGCGCTGTCGATCTCCGGATCGGCTTTCACCGTGGACGAAGCGGAGTCCAACCCGGGGTCGTCACATGTGGTTGCCGCAGGCATCACAATATGGTAAGGGACATAACATTTCCGTCACACGCTTGAGGCATTCGGCCAATCACAATGCACTGGATAGCTGGCCAATCAGAGCACACCTCGCTTTTTCAGACCGATGAGCTTTGTAAAAATCGACGCTTTCAGAAAGGTGGGGCATAGAGGAGAAACAATAATGTACAGTATGTGGAAAATAATGTGTTTTTTGAACCTTAAACCGCATAGACACATTTCATTACACCAAATACACAAAATAATGTTCTTTTTAGCAGCATCATATGACCCCTTTAACTTCACATCATGAGGCTTTATCCTAATCGATATTTATAATGTAGTCGCCTACTGTCTGTTCAGTTAACATATGGTTCATCATTAACTCAAATGGTGTTTTTAACAAAAATGGTTTGTGCAATCCAACAAGGCTTGTTACTGTCTGTCTTGTTACTCTTCAGCTCTTCAGCTATCATGTTAAGATTTGTTTGTTAAGATGTAGCACTTTGTGTATCTAAAGTTGTTTCACCATGGCACTGAACTCACACGTGTCAGAGAGTAGAAAGCATTGGAGGCATTACTGTACTCTATAATTCATGCATGCTGTGTCCAAAACCACTCACTTATTTGCTCATTCGTCACACATTATGTAGTAAATTAATGAAATTAATTAAATTCAATATGAATGAATGAAAAGGAGTGAATTCAAACATAAATAGACACTATATTGGGCTTTGTGTGCCTGAATGATTTTGGGGGGGAAATATAATAGTGATTTTTTTTTTCTGAAAAAAACAAACAAACAATGGCAATTGTGATTTAAAATGTATTATATATGTATATAAAATGTATTATAATGCATATAAAATAAAATGTACAAAAGTGATTTTATATACATAATATTAAATGCAAGTAAATTGTCTGCTATAATGTTTCAGATAACTTTTGTGAGAATAAAATGTCAAAATATGGATGAAATCATCATCGTTATTCAGCATATACAGATATATTTGTAAAAATGAAACAACATACTTATTCTGAACTGTGCTTATTAAAATATATAAAAGAAAAAGAGATCATACCTAATTTTAGTATATTTTAAATGATTAAAAACGTCTTGCTAACAAATGGGTAAAACCTAGTGGTTTAAGGATCATGGCAAAGATTGGTAAAGCAATATTTAAAATGACAATTAATTAGTATTTTGGGGCTCCACTGTGATCCTTATTTAAAGTCTTTTTTAATAGAGTTAAAAACTATTAAATAGAGATTTTATGTCATCTATCATAGGCTCATTTAAATATTGAAAATGGAATGTCTGTAAGTGTTTGTGTTGCTCATAAATGCCATCTGGGTAGCAGCTAAAGCTTATAATAACAAATAAGGAAGATGAGAGACAGCCGGTAGTTTGAGTTACTCACTGACTCAGGGAAAATGTGTTTATTCACATTGTCCTATGACCGTGAGATTACGCTTAAGGACCATCACATGATGGGAATATAATGACCTCAGTATGTTTGTGTGCAGGGGGGCTGGAGTGCGCTCATGTGGGCCGCTTACAAGGGTCGTGTGGAGGTGGCGCGTCTACTGCTGGAGAAGGGAGCAAATCCGAACATCACCAGACAGGTCTGCAGAGCTTTTTCCTATTCTATGTACAAGCGTTTATTATACATTAAGAACACTCAGAGATGGTCAGAGATGAGTTGTGGGTGAAATTGTGGCCCTGTATGAGATTTCATCTCAAGGTTTAAGTGTTTTTCAGTGGTGTGTAATTGATTTGTGTCTGTCCCAGTAGTACAGTGTTTACCCCATCATATGGGCAGCAGGAAGAGGCCATGCGGAGATCGTTCAGCTGCTGCTTCAGCATGGAGCCAAAGTCAACTGCTCTGACAAGGTGCCTTATCATTCCCATCTCAAGGAACGCTGAGCTTTCACTAGATTCGTAAACACTGATGGTGAACTAAAAAGCCCGAGTCAACAGTTTCCACATGACACCAATAAATAATATACACTACTGTTCAAAAGTTTGGGGTCAGCAAGATTTTTTTTTTCTCAGTAAGGACACATCATATTAAAATGATAAAAAAAGTGCCTCCCAAGATTTCTATTTCAAATGAATCCTGTGCTTTTGGACTTTCTATTCATCAAACATCCTGTAGAAAAAGAGTTTCCACAAAAACATTGAGCAGTACATTATTTTCAACACTGATAATTAGAAGAAATGTTTCTTGAGCAGCAAATCAACATATCAGAGAATGATTTCTGAAGGATCATGTGACACAGAAGACTGAGTAATGGCTGCTGAAAATTCAGCTTTTCCATCACAAGAACAAATGACGTTTTATATTAAAATAGATAAGTTATTTTAAATTGTAATACTATTTCACAATATTTCTTTTTTAAATGTATTTTTGATCAAATAAATGCAGCCTTGTGAACATTTATTTAAGAGACTTCTTTCAAAAACATAAAAAAATCTTACTGACCACAAACTTTTGAACAGTAGGGTAAATAATTGGAAAAAGACAGATATGAATTGCAAATCTTACCAAAATCACTGTAACACATGGCCTATAGAGGTTTATTATTTTGTTTTGTTTAAATTTTTTTATGACATAAACACGTAGATTGCTTTTATAGGTTGTTATAATTTGAATAATTAATTGTTATTATGCCAAGCAGTATAGTTAATTTGCTTATCCTCTGGCTGTGGTTATGGTTACTAAGCAAGGTCAAACATTGAGCAAGCTTATCTTCTCAGAAAGGTGACACAGCTCTGCATATTGCCATTCGTGGGAGAAGCCTCAAACTCGCTGAGCTGCTCTTGAGGAACCCTAAAGATGGCCATCTGCTCTACCGGCCCAGCAAAGAGGGAGAGACACCCTACAACATTGACTGCACTCACCAGAAGAGCACCCTCACCCAGATATTTGGAGCCAGTGAGTATTTCTTCAAACAGACCTTGTTTGCGCAGTAACATGTCTGTCTCCAACACTTCTGATGTATTCCTCCCCAGAGCACCTGTCTCCCTCTGAGTGTGACAGTGACATGCTGGGTTATGACCTGTACTGCAGCGCTCTGGCGGACATCCTGAGTGAGCCCACTATGCAGCCGCCCATCTGTGTGGGGCTTTACGCCCAGTGGGGCAGCGGCAAGTCCTTCCTGCTTAAGAAACTGGAGGGTATGAGCCAGAAATGACTACTCAAAATCTGATTGAATCTTATTGGATCTTTCCCATATGAACAAGATCTGATTGCGTTGCCACTGTTTCAGATGAGATGAAGACGTTAGCTGGGCAGCAGGTGGAGCCATTGTTCCAGTTCTCGTGGATGGTGGTGGTTTTGACTCTGCTGCTGTGTGGATCTGTGGCTCTGGTCCTTGGCTTAGCTGTTGACACAAAGCTGGCCATCGCTGTGACCCTCAGCCTGCTCACCCTACTGTAGATCTTCTTTGGTGACAAATCAAATGTACTGTCATGCCTCTGATTACAGGCCAAGTGTTAAAAAAGGAGTATAGTTCCCTTGGAACCATAGCGCAACTTATAACAGAGAAGAACAATGGCAACTTCAGACTTTATAGTCAGCCACAATAATACAGTAAATAAAAAAGAGCAGAAAAAGAGCAAATCACAAAGCGATAAATACAAAGTAATAAATCAGAATTACAGTAAGCAATACATGAAGAGTACTGTATGCAAACAATAATAACAATATTAATAATTAATTATATTGTTTATTGTTATAGATATTGTTTTTTCATATTTATAAATGATATATATACATTACTATGGATTATTTTATTTTTATTAAATAGTTAAAATAAATATAATAATAATAATAATAATAATAATTGTTGTTGTTCTTACAAAAACAAATGAAATTGGTAATAACATTAATAATAAATAATGATAGTATTGAAATACTACTACTACTACTACTACTACTACTACTACTAATAATTATTATTATTACAAACAAATGTCAAATAATGAATACATGAAATATGTTATATGAGTGTCTAGTCAGTACTATAAATACATTTAACTAATGTATTTAACTTATATCGCCCTGTCAACAAACCCTAATTATCAAAATAATATATTTTTTTAATAATAAATAATATACCTAATTATATAAAATAATATAATATTTAGTTACATTTATGGTGATTTATATATGCTTTATACCCTTGTTTATCATTATTCATCTAATTACTATTTACACTACAAATTTAAGATCCAGATTAGTACTCAACCAGTGCAGCCTTTTTGTTGATGCTCCATAATATGTGAGTTCATCCTTGGTTACCAAGAGGCACTGGACTGTACATATACAGTAAATGTGTCCACCAGAGTGCAGCATTGTACTTCAGAATCTCATTGTGAGTGGAATTGACTGTTCTACGTTTATCTTGTTTTCTTACAAACTCCTGGTTCAGTTCATATCAGAAAGTGGCCTTGTGTCATTTCAGTCTCCTGTGCTTTTGTATGGTGTGTGCAGTGTTGGTGTACTTTGGTGGGAGAAAAGCAGGGGAGAGTTGGAGTTGGGCCTGGGTCCTCAGCACCAGACTGGCCCGCCACATCGGTTACTTGGAGCTTCTACTCAAACTCATGTTCGTCAATCCCCCCGAGCTTCCAGAGCAGACCACCAAAGCCCTGCCTGTCAGATAGAGCTCTCAGAATACTGCAGCCGTGACCAAACACATCCAACTGCTTTACACTGGTGTTTATTCTTTTGCAAAGCTGAAAAATTAAGATAAAGATGTAAACTGTATACAGATGTAATTTACATCGCCTAATGGCAGGATAAATTTATGTTGTAAATATTCTCTTGACGACGTTAGATTACCTGCACATTCTGTTGAAACACACACATGTGTGATGCTCATTTTCAGTCAGTCTTTTTTTGTTCTCCATCTGTCCAGGTTTCTGTTCACAGACTATAACCGTCTGTCGAGTGTGGGAGGGGAGACGTCCATGGCTGAAATGATAGCCACGCTGTCCGATGCCTGTGAGAGAGAGTTCGACTTCTTGGCCACCAGACTTTTTATGGTCTTCAAGAATGATGAAACTCGAGGTGTGTTTGTAGAATATGCAATATGAACCTTCATAATAGAAAAAAAACAAACAAACATATTCAGTGCTTTGAATTGTTTTTATTATTATATGTTTGATTAATTCGTAGCTTTCTTAATTGTTTTATACAACAATAAAAAAACACAAAGCTGTCTGTTACAGTGATTTCTATCATGGTAGAGGTTAGGCATAATGTAAAGCAGAGTTTATCTGCAACCAGTGTTATTATAGTATTATTTATACACTTTCATAGTATTAAATATTTTGAATTGACTTTTATTTCTATATTTTCATATATGTAATTTTTATTACTTTTTGTTTTGAATATTTCTATTTTCAGTTTATTTTCATTTCCTTTTGAGTTAAGTTTTAGCTACTTTGGTTTTAGTAGTTTGATTTTCAGCTTATTTTATTTTAGTTAGTTCCCAAAGCAACATTTGTAATTTTCTATGTTTTAGTTTGTTTTTTTAATCTTTTTTATATATCATAACCCCCTTAACTGTAGTAAAATAACCTTTTAAATACATTTATTTTTCATAAATATTTATCAAATTTTTTTTGTTTGTGAACATAATGCTTCTGGCTGGAAACTATCATAGCCTCACCCATAGTGAAATCCCATTTGGTCTACATAGCTCTATATATTAAACATAAAATGGTCAGTAAATATTGTATTACTACAAAATGGCCTTTATTTAACATTTAACAATAGTATTATTTATTAATAATGTCATTACAGGTGTGTATATATCAGGTGTTTTATTATGGCTTCAAATGTGGCTCATCCAGTCACATTTTAGACTGTTTTGTTAGTAGTTAACTTCAACCTGTGTTTTTTGTGACATCTCTGTTGAAACACACACATGTGTGATGCTCATTTTCAGTCAGTCTTTTTTTGTTCTCCATCTGTCCAGGTTTCTGTTCACAGACTATAACCGTCTGTCGAGTGTGGGAGGGGAGACGTCCATGGCTGAAATGATAGCCACGCTGTCCGATGCCTGTGAGAGAGAGTTCGACTTCTTGGCCACCAGACTTTTTATGGTCTTCAAGAATGATGAAACTCAAGGTGTGTTTGTAGAATATGCAATATGAACCTTCATAATAGAAAAAAAACAAACAAACATATTCAGTGCTTTGAATTGTTTTTATTATTATATGTTTGATTAATTCGTAGCTTTCTTAATTGTTTTATACAACAATAAAAAAACACAAAGCTCTCTGTTACAGTGATTTCTATCATGGTAGAGGTTAGGCATAATGTAAAGCAGAGTTTATCTGCAACCAGTGTTATTATAGTATTATTTATATACTTTCATAGTATTAAATATTTTGAATTGACTTTTATTTCTATATTTTCATATATTTGTCATTTTTATTAGTTTTTGTTTTGAATATTTCTATTTTCAGTTTATTTTCATTTCCTTTTGAGTTAAGTTTTAGCTACTTTGGTTTTAGTAGTTTGATTTTCAACTTATTTTATTTTAGTTAGTTCCCAAAGCAACATTTGTAATTTTAGTTTGTTTTTTAAAATCTTTTTTATATATCATATCATTTTATATATCATAACCATAAATGTTTGTGAACATAATGCTTCTGGCTGGAAACTATCATAGCCTCACCCATAGTGAAATCCCATTTGGTCAAAAACTGTGCTCTACATGCTCTTGACTAAATGGCCAAACAAGGTGCCTCATGTCCAACAAGCCCGTTCACCTCTTAAACATCTCATGGATGTGCAGCAGTGCTCCGAGTTCAGGCTTGTTTAGTTCCAGAAGTTCAGATTCCTCTCTCCCAGCTGGACTAATGGAATTTCCTTCAGCTAAATGTCATTATTTGGGTATAATCCTCTTGTGTTGGCAGCCTGTTCACCGCTAATGAAATCTGCCATTTACCAGAGAGCCTGCAAAACCCCTCAAAAATTCCTTTGTGGCACAATTAGCCATGTCTAATTGTTTTAAATTCTGATCTTTTTGTCTCTGATTTTGACAGGAATTACCAAATTGGATTTTTCCTTCTAGTTTAATATTGTTCCAATTGCTAAGGCTGATGTTCCATAAGAAAAATGACGGATATGAATGTAGATGGCATATTTTGTGCCACAATTTAGTTGGCGTGGAGAACCGCAACGTCAGCAGATATTTTACAATGATTGCTGAATTATGTGTGCCATTCTAAACTTTTAAACGGTCTACAAATCAGTATCATTTGACACTTCTACATGTTACAGTGTTCTTCATTAGTCTGGAAAGTCCCATCACGTTCAAATGAGTACATGTTTGGGTGTGTGCAAATGTATACAGAGTGGCTTAAATAACTTAATTCATTCTGAAGTGATCTGAGAGGGAAAAATAGGCTACTACTTTAATATATCACATATAGATTAAGGTGTCAATCTGTGTGTTTGATCACTGTTCTGGTTTTAGCCCATATCAGAGAAATTGATTTAACGTATCATAACCAAAAAGCACAACCTTTCTAAACAGACCTACCATAAATACCTTACTATATTCTTATGATATCTAATGCAGTAACTGATATTAACCGATGTGCTCCTTGTGCTCTAACCGCTAGGCCACAACTTAGACCAGATTTTGTACTATTAATAAAGAGGAAACATTCTTCTCTTCTGTTTGCAGGTTCGGGTGCTTTTCTCTAAAGGTCCCTTCATCTCAATCTTTGCCAGCGACCCTCATATCATCATCAAGGCCATAAACCAGAACCTCGACAGTGTGCTACGTGACTCCAACATCAACGGCCACGACTACATGCGAAACATCATCTACCTGCTCGTGTTCCTCAACAGCCGTGGCCTCAGCTCTACCAAGAGACTTTGTATTTCCACACCAGCCAATGTGGATCAGCTGAACTCTGATGGTCGGTATAGAGATGGTTTCAAAGGCAGAATTCCAATATGCACACTTTTACAAAATACTTAAAAATTACATACACATACTGCTGTAGTGAAGGGAAAGCTGGTATGAAAAGTGGGACTCAGCATAAAGATTAAAGGGATAGTTCACCCAAAGATTAAAATTCTGTTTTCATTCACTCTCCTAATGTCATTCTAAGCCTGTATGACTTGCTTTTTCTGTGATGCATAGATATATTGTTTCAACTGTTTTTGTCCGACAGTGAAAGTCCCTATTGACGTTTTTCAGAATATATTATTTTTTGTTACCCAGAAGAAAGCTGTATATGTTTGTAATGACATGCGAGAAATTTGTTATTTTTTTGGGTGCAGTCCCTTTAAATAAATTTTTTGTATTGCTCAGTGTTTTTGGTGTGTTGATTTTTATTTTATTTTGTATTTTGCATTTCATTTATTTTATTTTTTTATTAAGCCCAACAAATACAAACCCCAAAACTGATAATTCACCATCATGTTGTTCACCAACCTGTATGACTGACTTACTTTCTTTTGTGGAACAAAAAAGAAGATATTCTATAACATCTGTACATCTTAATGTTCTTTAATGCATTTTTATGTATAACAAGATGTTTGTGGTCTGTTAATCTCATTTCATTGATTTATGTGGCAGATATTTCTTGTGATTTGTCATCTGCATCATCTGTGGTGTAGTGCATTTAATATAGACTAACAGCACAGCTTTTCCGCTCCGATACCTCCTCTGAACGTCTGACTCTCTCCATCTGTAGTGTGGCAAGAGGACATGAACAGGAAGTTGTCTCAGAACAGTTTCGGCGAGCAGGGCAGTAAAACAGCACTGAACCGCTGGGTAAGACTTAGCCCCCAACACTCCTACCACTTCCCATCAACACATTTGAGATGGCCAGCTCATTGAAGGCCATATGGCTGCTATTACCTCATTAGTAACTCATTAATAACTCTTTTATAAAGGCTTTAACTATGCTTATTCTCTCTAACAAGCTCTTTAACGCCTGTATGAGTCATGTATTCACAGTTAGAAAGGACAGTTAGAACCATGTCTTGTGTGTTTGTTTGTGTGTGTGTCTTTTTTTGGAGGGGGGGGGGTATTGTCAGAGACCCTGGATGTCGCCGAGGAGTGTCTGTAATTGATTTAATGTCTGTTTACGCTTCCCGCTGAGATGCCATTGCCTAATGACAGGGTGCAGCAGCAGTGGGTCTTGGTGACAAAGCACTGGCACGGCGGCACGGAGACAGGAGGCTAAGTGGCTCCTCTGCTTGCCCTGGAAGGGCTGTTTGTTTGCTTGGCTGATTTATCTGCCTCCTTTATTTGTCCCCTCTTTATTTCAGGGGCACGTTCATCTTTTTTGCCTCTGCTGTTTCTTGGCTGAGTATCCAGCTCGCCATACCCCTGATCTGCACGTTTTGTTGTGGAAAGTTGTTTAGTGGGATTCATGAGCTGCTCGTGGAAGTCTCTAGTCATTAAAGAAGAAAAATAATAGTAGCACTCTTAAAGTGTCATGTCCTTTTCCTGGTTAATGTGATATTATATCCCATTAAGCTGTGAGGTCAAACTGAGGTTCTGCAGAGGTCTTGCTTGATGCGCATGAGGATCTACGATAAAGCGGAGCTGTTAGGTTCATCCTTGCTAATGACTAATTTCATCACGCATATTTTTCCTTAACACTCCCCTCCATCATCCTGGATCAAAAAGGGGCCACCTTATTGATGGCCATGTGTTCCAAGTAGCAGTCAAGTCACAAGTTCCGCATTAAAAACTTCAAAGTGGGCTTAAAGCTCTGACCCTCCAGAGCTCGTGATCGGCTCTGCGTTGTGCTTGTATTGGACCGGCTGATGCTTTAAAAGACTAGCAAACATATCAGTCAGCCGGACCTCTGGATGAGAGGACAAACGGTCATGCACAACGAATTGTCCAGACACAACACTGAATCAGCAGCTCCCAATACAAGCCATTGCAGTTGCCATTTCACCGGATCAGGATGTATTTGTTCATTCTTAAAGGAACACTCCACTATTTTTGAAAATAGGCTCATTTTCCAACTCCCCTAGAGTTAAACAGTTGAGTTTTACTGTTTTCGAATCCATTCAGCCGATCTCCGGGTCTGGCGGAGCACTTTTAGCTGTAGCTTAGCATAGATCATTGAATCTGATTAGACCGTTAACATCTCGCTCAAAAATGACCAAAGAGTTTCGATGTTTTTCTTATTTAAAACTTGACTCTTCTGTAGTTACATCATGTACTTAGACCGACGGAAAATGAAAAGTTGCAATTTTCTAGGCCGATATGGCTAGGAACTATACTCTCTCATTTCGGCGTAATAATCAAGGAACTTTGCTGCCATACTATGGGTGCAGCAGGTGCAATGATATTATGCAGTGCCTGAAAATAGGCTAACTTCCGTCAACATAACCAACGTGACCACCTGCTTGCACAGGGAGTGTGCTGGGGATTATTTTCAGGCACTGCATAATATCATTGCACCTGCTGCACCCATAGTATGGCAGCAAAGTTCCTTGATTATTACGCCGAAATGAGAGAGTATAGTTCCTAGCCATATCGGCCTAGAAAATTGCAACTTTTCATTTTCCGTCGGTCTAAGTACATGATGTAACTACAGAAGAGTCAAGTTTTAAATAAGAAAAACATCGAAACTCTTTGGTCATTTTTGAGCGAGATGTTAACGGTCTAATCAGATTCAATGATCTATGCTAAGCTACAGCTAAAAGTGCTCCGCCGGACCCGGAGATCGGCTGAATGGATTCGAAAACGGTAAAACTCAACTGTTTAACTCTAGGGGAGTTGGAAAATGAGCCTATTTTCAAAAATAGTGGAGTGTTCCTTTAA